TTAGAACTAATCCTCTTCTCAAATTAAAAAAAAACTTCTTTTTCGCTGCAGGGTAGGGGGCCGGTTCTCTTCCATTATCCCTCAAGCTGTTTCGGCGTCCATCATTCCCTGCCGGCCACCACTTCAAACGTTTCTACTTGCCTCCTAAGCTGCCTCCACCGCCTTAGTCTGCGGAAGCATGTGGGATCTGGCAAAACGCAACTACTTACTTACAGTAAGTAGTGTGGGATCAGACCCTTAGATCTTAGATCTTACGACAAGGACGGCGATGGCGGCTGAGAATGTGTGGATGCGCATGATGGCCCAGAGCACATGGCTCTCTGTCGATGATCCCGAGGCTCATCTTCCGTTGTTGCTGTTAGGATCGCTGATCGGGACGGTGCTCGTCTGCGTCTTCACTGCCAGAACGCTTTCTTGGCTGGGTGCCAGAAGATGGAGCCAGTTTGGAAAACCGAAGGAGGAAGAGGAGGCAAAGGCCGGGCGTAAACTCAAACTGCGTCTGTCCCCCGGGCCTGCACCATGGCCGATCATGGGCAATCTGTTTCAGCTGCAACGTTACCCCCACAGAGGGCTTGCCAAGATGGCAGAGAAGTACGGCGGGGTGATGACCGTCCAGCTGGGCTCGGTTCGGACGCTGGTGGTGTCCAGCCCGGCGGCTGTCAAGGAGATTCTGGTCGATCAGGGAGCCACGTTTGCCTCACGACCGCTAACTGCGACCATTGACGCGTTGACATCTGGCGGTCGGGATTTCGTCTTCGCCCCGTACGGTCCCTTGTGGCGGAAGCATAGGAAGATGGCCAGTGTGCACATGTTCTCCCCAAAGAGGATGGCACAAGTAGACGGGATCCAGCGAAAGTTCTTCGCTTGTCTAGAGGAGGAGCTGCTGAGGAAAGGAGGAGGATCAGGAGGAGCAGACAAGCAGGAACGAGGAGATATGGGGGGAAAGGAGCAGGGGAATGATTCGCCGGGGAGGACCGAGGAGAGGACGAACACCTCCTCCTCCTCCTCCTTCTCCTTCTCCTTCTCCAATCACGTGTCTGAGGCAAAGGTAGGTGGTGCAGGAGACAAAATGGAGGCCATCACTGACGGGCGGCGGGACACGGACGGGCTCGGACGCTGCCAGCCTGATGATGGAAATGGGCGGGACCGCAGTGTGGGGACCACCACAATGGAAGAACTCGAGCCGGTGGAGTTTCGAGAAAAAATGTTTTGCTTCATCCTGGACACGTTAACGTATGTCATATTCGGCTCCCCTGTGACGCCTGGGATGCGCCGCCGCGTGGCAAGGTCCCAGCTTGCCGTGGACTGCAGCCCGAAGACAACGACGATGACGACGGGATCGCAGCAGGATGGTGATGGTGATGGTGTTTCATCACGGAGCGGACTCTGGACGAACAGTTGTTGCAGCCACGTGGCCACATCTCGGAAATTCGGCAAGTTCGTCATCCACGACTTGATACGNTGCTTTTCTTTATATATATATATTTTTAATTTTCTTTAAATCCAATTTCGTTTTTGATTTTTAAAAAATCCTAAATAAAGTCGGATTCAAAAAAAAAAAAAAGGGGTTGTAGGGCTCAAAATTCCCTACAACCCCATATATATATATATATATATATATTACCTATTATTTAATTCAGGAAAATTTGTGTAAAATCGGGTCCGCRGTGCGGACCAGGTAGGCCGCGGATGCGGACCCATTTGGGTCCGCGATCCGAGCTCGACCCCGCGGATGCGTCCGCGGGTGTTTCCCTGTGTGTACGCCCTCCCCCGGATTGATGAGTTGTTGGATGCGATTGGGAGTGCTCAATTTTTCAGTAAGTTTGATGTTCGCCATGGGTTCCATCATCTTCTTGTCCGAGAAGAAGATCGTCCAAAAAAGGCGTTTGTGTTTTTCGAAGGTACGTGGCAGTGGATTCGATGTTCGATGGGTATCTGCAACGCCCCCGCGACCTTTCACCGAACCATGAATATGGGTTTTAAGAATTTCGTACGGAAGACTCGGTTGGCGCAGAGCATCATCAACTACTGCGTGATTGTGTACATGGATGACATTCTGGTGTACTCAAGTTCCTACGAGGGACACGTGCAACACATCGAGTGGGCTCTGCATGCGTTATGAGATGCGGGTTTCAAGGTGGCGCTTGAGAAGTGTCAGTTTTTTCTTACCACCATTTCCTTCTAAGGACACGTGGTAACAGACAAGGGGCTCCAACCGGAGCCACAGAAGGTGGCTGCTGTCAGAGATGCGCCGGTGCCTACGACTATCACGCAAGTTCGCGCCTTTTTGGGCCTGGCCTCATACTACCGAAGATTTATCAAGGGCTTCGCGGCGATCGCGGGACCCCTCAGGAATCTGCTGCGCAAAGATCAGTCGTTGATCTACACGCTGTAGTGTGATCAAGCGTTTTCGAAATGCAAGGCCGCTCTCATTTCGGCTCCGGACCTTCAAGTTATAAGACCGGATCCCGAAAAACCTTTTGTTCTCATCACTGACTGGCAGCCAGAGGCGATCTCGGCGATCCTTGCCCAGGTGGGACCAAGTGGACTCGAGAGCGTGGTGGAGTATGCATCCAAATTGGTGCCCGCTTGCAAGAGCAACTACGTCGCTCCGACGGGAGAATGCTACGCGGCTCTTTGGGGAATCAGTCACTTTCGCGCTTACCTGTACGGGCGGAAGTTCACCTTGGTAACCGATCATGAGCCCCTGTTGGCTCTAAAGAAATCGAAGGATTACTCTGGCATGATCGGGCGATGGGCAACGGTGCTACATAGCATGGACTTTGACATTCGTCATCGGAAGCACGAGAGATACGGGAATGCGGACAGACTGACACGACTGCACCGGCCCGAGAAAGTTCCAAAGAGTGAGGAGGTGATTCTGTGGAACGAACCCGAATAGGAGGTTGGACCTCGGTACGGCCAATTGGAGATCTTGTCGAAGCAGTAAGTGACACGAGGATCAATTTGACTGATTCTACCCTCTCCGCAATCCGGTCTTATCTCTCCTCCTCTATCATCATGACTACCCCACCTATCTCTGCAACCCCTTCTTCTCCTACTAATTCTGCCCGTCTCACTTCCTCAGCTTTCTTTGCCACCCTCCCCGATAAATTCTGCTATTTTTGTACGTGTATTGCACGGGTTTATGGGGTCAATTGTCATCCTTTCGAAATCCGGTTTGTCGATTGGGTAGAATGTGTCACGTGTGTCAATCGTGCGCACGGGGCCCGCGTTCGGTATCGGACAAGTAGCAAGGAATGGAGGTGCCCCCTRTGTTGAACGAACAAACTCCCCACGGAGGTTCCATTCGAGGCCGCCCGTACGGATGACCCTGAATACGACTAAAAATACCGACGAGCAGAGGTTTGGACGGATAAAATTTTATTGGCAAAATTAGCTGGATTATCTTTGGGACACCTCACCAAACACGACAGACGTAGGGCAACCGAGAGATCTCGGGACTATCGGTCGATCAACGGTCATTTGGAGAAGCATAAAACTGACGGATCGGGTTCGTGGTTGACGGTTCCCCATCGATTCCAGAGATATGATTGGATCCGATCGGCTCACGAAGAACAGGCCGCCCATTTCGCGATACGTGTCACGAAGGCAACTATAGACCAGAACCGATGGTTCTGGTCCAACATACTAGATAATGATGTCTGATACATTGTCGCCAACTGTCTGGTCTGTGCCGCTGATCCCGCCCCAATACGAGGACCAAACACGATAGTACCTACGGAAGTAGAGCGCCCCTTCCAACGAATCAGTATGGACACAACAGATATCGACGTGCCACCTGACCCAAATCGCTGTGAATATTCTATCCTGTTAGTGTTAATAGACCATTTTTCCAAGTACATCAAGGTCTATCCTTGTAAGATCCGAAAGGCCGCAGAAATAGCCACGTACATCGAACGGTTCCTCTATACCCATCTAGATACGGAGGAAATTCTAACTGACAAAGGGGCGTCACGCTCTGACATACGGCACCCCACGTGTCCTAGTCGAACGGGTTGGCTGAGAATGCCAATCGTATGATTAAAACCTCCCTTCGCAGGAATTTAGCGGCACACGACACGCGTCCGTGACCCGAGATCATATATCAGATCGTCGAGATCCACCGGGCCACCCCTCACAAATCCACGGGGTTTACCCCTTTTCAACTTCGTACTAATAGCATCCCTTGTGTCGACTACCGGGGATAACTCAAAAATTGTCGAAGTAGGGGGTAGAGACACATGTAGAGCCCTCAAGGCCAAGGCCAAAAGGTACACCGAATTAATGGAGCGGGCCGTCCTGAAGCTACCCCGAAAAAGACAAAGGATGACCGATCTGGCCCACGGTAGGCAGGTCCGTAGCTACGAGGCTCGGAATGGAAATGTTGGGCCCCAGCATCAATATAAATTAGGGGACCTAGTGCAGGTACGCAAATGTGCACGCGACCGGAAACTCGCTCCCAAATTCTCTGGCTGCTTTCGCGTTGTCGAGCTCGGTCCTAACGGCGCCAACAAGGTGAGCATCGCACCGGAGGCTAGTGCCATCCATAGCTCTATCCCCATCGCCCGACATACGTCCTACCTTCGTCCTCTTCCTCCCTCTCACCATCCTCCCTCTCCCTCCTCCGAAAGCGAGGAGAATGACGACGATCTAACTCTCTCTCCACTCTCTCCCTCCTGCCCTTCGTCTTCCTCTCCGCCCTCGCCATGAGTTTCATCACGGAGCGGACTCTGGACGAACAGTTGTTGCAGCCACGTGGCCACATCTCGGAAATTCGGCAAGTTCGTCATCCACGACTTGATACGGATCTTCGGCGATTGGCGCAGTTCTTCTGCGACGTGGGTGTGTGTGCCACCGCCGCGTTTCGATTCGAAGGGATCTCACAGGCAGTGGTACCGGCRGAGGTAATAGCAGTTCATCGGCGAGTGGCTCCCGGAACGAGCCACGTCACCACGGTTGCRGCTTTCAGCGGCAACATCAGCTCGCTCAATCCACGGTGGCATACCGCRATCTTGACCTCACTGCGAGAGTGGACGGAGCAGGTGTCCAACGTGTGGCAGCACGGTCTTGCCCGGCCAAGGCATAACCTCATCTCGACCTTTGCACCGGATCTTGGCGAGATCCATTGTTCTCCGCGTGAGCCGCCGATTGTGATCCCCACCCTCGTCCTTGATCAATGGTAGAAGTCCACGGCAAAAGATTCCGCACCCTCATCTTGGAGCTCGTCGAGAAGAGGCGGGAATCACGACAAAAGTTCATAGTGGGCGACAGCGCCGTCCTAGATCGAGGCCAACCAACAGCTTTGACAGCCGTCGGATTGAATTTCGAGAATCCGGATGCGATGGTGGATGTGGTGTTCGATAATCTCCTCTCTGATGAGACTGCTGCTGCTGGCGCCGCGGCGACGGCCGCGGCGGCGGCCGTGGCTGCAAAGAACTTGGCGGCTTCTAGCAGCTTTAAGAACGGCCAGGAGGTTGTATACCTGTCTCTTATACACATCTAGATGTGTATAAGAGACAGGTCCTAGATCGAGGCCAACCAACAGCTTTGACAGCCGTCGGATTGAATTTCGAGAATCCGGATGCGATGGTGGATGTGGTGTTCGATAATCTCCTCTCTGATGAGACTGCTGCTGCTGGCGCCGCGGCGACGGCCGCGGCGGCGGCCGTGGCTGCAAAGAACTTGGCGGCTTCTAGCAGCTTTAAGAACGGCCAGGAGGTTGTATACCTGTCTCTTATACACATCTAGATGTGTATAAGAGACAGGTCCTAGATCGAGGCCAACCAACAGCTTTGACAGCCGTCGGATTGAATTTCGAGAATCCGGATGCGATGGTGGATGTGGTGTTCGATAATCTCCTCTCTGATGAGACTGCTGCTGCTGGCGCCGCGGCGACGGCCGCGGCGGCGGCCGTGGCTGCAAAGAACTTGGCGGCTTCTAGCAGCTTTAAGAACGGCCAGGAGGTTGTATACCTGTCTCTTATACACATCTAGATGTGTATAAGAGACAGGTCCTAGATCGAGGCCAACCAACAGCTTTGACAGCCGTCGGATTGAATTTCGAGAATCCGGATGCGATGGTGGATGTGGTGTTCGATAATCTCCTCTCTGATGAGACTGCTGCTGCTGGCGCCGCGGCGACGGCCGCGGCGGCGGCCGTGGCTGCAAAGAACTTGGCGGCTTCTAGCAGCTTTAAGAACGGCCAGGAGGTTGTATACCTGTCTCTTATACACATCTAGATGTGTATAAGAGACAGGTCCTAGATCGAGGCCAACCAACAGCTTTGACAGCCGTCGGATTGAATTTCGAGAATCCGGATGCGATGGTGGATGTGGTGTTCGATAATCTCCTCTCTGATGAGACTGCTGCTGCTGGCGCCGCGGCGACGGCCGCGGCGGCGGCCGTGGCTGCAAAGAACTTGGCGGCTTCTAGCAGCTTTAAGAACGGCCAGGAGGTTGTATACCTGTCTCTTATACACATCTAGATGTGTATAAGAGACAGGTCCTAGATCGAGGCCAACCAACAGCTTTGACAGCCGTCGGATTGAATTTCGAGAATCCGGATGCGATGGTGGATGTGGTGTTCGATAATCTCCTCTCTGATGAGACTGCTGCTGCTGGCGCCGCGGCGACGGCCGCGGCGGCGGCCGTGGCTGCAAAGAACTTGGCGGCTTCTAGCAGCTTTAAGAACGGCCAGGAGGTTGTATACCTGTCTCTTATACACATCTAGATGTGTATAAGAGACAGGTCCTAGATCGAGGCCAACCAACAGCTTTGACAGCCGTCGGATTGAATTTCGAGAATCCGGATGCGATGGTGGATGTGGTGTTCGATAATCTCCTCTCTGATGAGACTGCTGCTGCTGGCGCCGCGGCGACGGCCGCGGCGGCGGCCGTGGCTGCAAAGAACTTGGCGGCTTCTAGCAGCTTTAAGAACGGCCAGGAGGTTGTATACCTGTCTCTTATACACATCTAGATGTGTATAAGAGACAGGTCCTAGATCGAGGCCAACCAACAGCTTTGACAGCCGTCGGATTGAATTTCGAGAATCCGGATGCGATGGTGGATGTGGTGTTCGATAATCTCCTCTCTGATGAGACTGCTGCTGCTGGCGCCGCGGCGACGGCCGCGGCGGCGGCCGTGGCTGCAAAGAACTTGGCGGCTTCTAGCAGCTTTAAGAACGGCCAGGAGGTTGTATACCTGTCTCTTATACACATCTAGATGTGTATAAGAGACAGGTCCTAGATCGAGGCCAACCAACAGCTTTGACAGCCGTCGGATTGAATTTCGAGAATCCGGATGCGATGGTGGATGTGGTGTTCGATAATCTCCTCTCTGATGAGACTGCTGCTGCTGGCGCCGCGGCGACGGCCGCGGCGGCGGCCGTGGCTGCAAAGAACTTGGCGGCTTCTAGCAGCTTTAAGAACGGCCAGGAGGTTGTATACCTGTCTCTTATACACATCTAGATGTGTATAAGAGACAGGTCCTAGATCGAGGCCAACCAACAGCTTTGACAGCCGTCGGATTGAATTTCGAGAATCCGGATGCGATGGTGGATGTGGTGTTCGATAATCTCCTCTCTGATGAGACTGCTGCTGCTGGCGCCGCGGCGACGGCCGCGGCGGCGGCCGTGGCTGCAAAGAACTTGGCGGCTTCTAGCAGCTTTAAGAACGGCCAGGAGGTTGTATACCTGTCTCTTATACACATCTAGATGTGTATAAGAGACAGGTCCTAGATCGAGGCCAACCAACAGCTTTGACAGCCGTCGGATTGAATTTCGAGAATCCGGATGCGATGGTGGATGTGGTGTTCGATAATCTCCTCTCTGATGAGACTGCTGCTGCTGGCGCCGCGGCGACGGCCGCGGCGGCGGCCGTGGCTGCAAAGAACTTGGCGGCTTCTAGCAGCTTTAAGAACGGCCAGGAGGTTGTATACCTGTCTCTTATACACATCTAGATGTGTATAAGAGACAGGTCCTAGATCGAGGCCAACCAACAGCTTTGACAGCCGTCGGATTGAATTTCGAGAATCCGGATGCGATGGTGGATGTGGTGTTCGATAATCTCCTCTCTGATGAGACTGCTGCTGCTGGCGCCGCGGCGACGGCCGCGGCGGCGGCCGTGGCTGCAAAGAACTTGGCGGCTTCTAGCAGCTTTAAGAACGGCCAGGAGGTTGTATACCTGTCTCTTATACACATCTAGATGTGTATAAGAGACAGGTCCTAGATCGAGGCCAACCAACAGCTTTGACAGCCGTCGGATTGAATTTCGAGAATCCGGATGCGATGGTGGATGTGGTGTTCGATAATCTCCTCTCTGATGAGACTGCTGCTGCTGGCGCCGCGGCGACGGCCGCGGCGGCGGCCGTGGCTGCAAAGAACTTGGCGGCTTCTAGCAGCTTTAAGAACGGCCAGGAGGTTGTATACCTGTCTCTTATACACATCTAGATGTGTATAAGAGACAGGTCCTAGATCGAGGCCAACCAACAGCTTTGACAGCCGTCGGATTGAATTTCGAGAATCCGGATGCGATGGTGGATGTGGTGTTCGATAATCTCCTCTCTGATGAGACTGCTGCTGCTGGCGCCGCGGCGACGGCCGCGGCGGCGGCCGTGGCTGCAAAGAACTTGGCGGCTTCTAGCAGCTTTAAGAACGGCCAGGAGGTTGTATACCTGTCTCTTATACACATCTAGATGTGTATAAGAGACAGGTCCTAGATCGAGGCCAACCAACAGCTTTGACAGCCGTCGGATTGAATTTCGAGAATCCGGATGCGATGGTGGATGTGGTGTTCGATAATCTCCTCTCTGATGAGACTGCTGCTGCTGGCGCCGCGGCGACGGCCGCGGCGGCGGCCGTGGCTGCAAAGAACTTGGCGGCTTCTAGCAGCTTTAAGAACGGCCAGGAGGTTGTATACCTGTCTCTTATACACATCTAGATGTGTATAAGAGACAGGTCCTAGATCGAGGCCAACCAACAGCTTTGACAGCCGTCGGATTGAATTTCGAGAATCCGGATGCGATGGTGGATGTGGTGTTCGATAATCTCCTCTCTGATGAGACTGCTGCTGCTGGCGCCGCGGCGACGGCCGCGGCGGCGGCCGTGGCTGCAAAGAACTTGGCGGCTTCTAGCAGCTTTAAGAACGGCCAGGAGGTTGTATACCTGTCTCTTATACACATCTAGATGTGTATAAGAGACAGGTCCTAGATCGAGGCCAACCAACAGCTTTGACAGCCGTCGGATTGAATTTCGAGAATCCGGATGCGATGGTGGATGTGGTGTTCGATAATCTCCTCTCTGATGAGACTGCTGCTGCTGGCGCCGCGGCGACGGCCGCGGCGGCGGCCGTGGCTGCAAAGAACTTGGCGGCTTCTAGCAGCTTTAAGAACGGCCAGGAGGTTGTATACCTGTCTCTTATACACATCTAGATGTGTATAAGAGACAGGTCCTAGATCGAGGCCAACCAACAGCTTTGACAGCCGTCGGATTGAATTTCGAGAATCCGGATGCGATGGTGGATGTGGTGTTCGATAATCTCCTCTCTGATGAGACTGCTGCTGCTGGCGCCGCGGCGACGGCCGCGGCGGCGGCCGTGGCTGCAAAGAACTTGGCGGCTTCTAGCAGCTTTAAGAACGGCCAGGAGGTTGTATACCTGTCTCTTATACACATCTAGATGTGTATAAGAGACAGGTCCTAGATCGAGGCCAACCAACAGCTTTGACAGCCGTCGGATTGAATTTCGAGAATCCGGATGCGATGGTGGATGTGGTGTTCGATAATCTCCTCTCTGATGAGACTGCTGCTGCTGGCGCCGCGGCGACGGCCGCGGCGGCGGCCGTGGCTGCAAAGAACTTGGCGGCTTCTAGCAGCTTTAAGAACGGCCAGGAGGTTGTATACCTGTCTCTTATACACATCTAGATGTGTATAAGAGACAGGTCCTAGATCGAGGCCAACCAACAGCTTTGACAGCCGTCGGATTGAATTTCGAGAATCCGGATGCGATGGTGGATGTGGTGTTCGATAATCTCCTCTCTGATGAGACTGCTGCTGCTGGCGCCGCGGCGACGGCCGCGGCGGCGGCCGTGGCTGCAAAGAACTTGGCGGCTTCTAGCAGCTTTAAGAACGGCCAGGAGGTTGTATACCTGTCTCTTATACACATCTAGATGTGTATAAGAGACAGGTCCTAGATCGAGGCCAACCAACAGCTTTGACAGCCGTCGGATTGAATTTCGAGAATCCGGATGCGATGGTGGATGTGGTGTTCGATAATCTCCTCTCTGATGAGACTGCTGCTGCTGGCGCCGCGGCGACGGCCGCGGCGGCGGCCGTGGCTGCAAAGAACTTGGCGGCTTCTAGCAGCTTTAAGAACGGCCAGGAGGTTGTATACCTGTCTCTTATACACATCTAGATGTGTATAAGAGACAGGTCCTAGATCGAGGCCAACCAACAGCTTTGACAGCCGTCGGATTGAATTTCGAGAATCCGGATGCGATGGTGGATGTGGTGTTCGATAATCTCCTCTCTGATGAGACTGCTGCTGCTGGCGCCGCGGCGACGGCCGCGGCGGCGGCCGTGGCTGCAAAGAACTTGGCGGCTTCTAGCAGCTTTAAGAACGGCCAGGAGGTTGTATACTGCGAGACAGAAGCCTGCCTGCTGTTAACGAGTCTGTTATCAGCGGGCACGGACACGACGACCTCTGTAACTGTTTTCCTTCTGATGGAATTGCTCCGTCATCCGAAGATGATGGCGAAGCTGAAAGCAGAGGTAGATGAGGCCGTCGAAGTCGCAGGAGATTCGCAGAAGTTTCTATCAGAGAATGATCTGGAGAATCTGCCTTACCTCAATGCAGTTCTGTACGAGACGCTGTGTCTGCACACCCCCGGTCCGCTGTTTACTCATCAAGCTGTGGAAGACGCTGTAGTGTTTGGCTATGACGTCCCCGCAGGAACTCAGGTGCTTGTCAACGCTTGGGCCATTATGCACGACCCTGAGGTGTGGCCCGAGCCATGGGAGTTTCGCCCCGAAACGGTTCATCCGAGATGGGCGGCTGGCCGACGACCTGCATCCTGATGGAAAGAACTTTGCCTTCATCCCGTTTGGTGCGGGAAGAAGAGTGTGCCCAGGTATGCGGCTCGGGCTCAACAGTGTTCGGTTCGTTGTTTCCAGGCTGGCCCAGCGGTTTGACTTTACGTTGCCACGTGGCGTTCAGCCCGAAGACGTGGACTTTACCGAGCGTGACGGAATTGTCATCTTCCCGGAAAATCCGGTGCCGATCGTCTTCCGTCCAAGATCAATAGGGTAGGGTGCGGGGAAGATTTTTTTTGAAAAGGGCGATGGCCTTGAGGTATTATCATCGGACTAACCAGAGCCAGGTAAATTCAATCTTGTGTCTCTTTTTTTTTTTTTTTTTTTTTTTATTGAATTCAATCTTGTGTCCAAGATCAATAGCCTAGGGTGGCCTTATAGCCTTCAGGGAACACCCGCTGGGGGACACCGGCCAGGGGACAGCCGGTAGCAGAGGGACCGAAATCATCTGAGTGGCCAGTCGCTGTGCCTCCGACTCGCAGACGGTTTTTTTTGTTTTTTTTTTTGTTTTTTTTTGCGTGTCCTCCTTCAATTGCTTGTGCTCCGACGGACCACAGATCTAATACTAAGTTTGAAACTCATCAGAACAGATACAGGCCTGTCTGAGTTGGTACACCCATGAAGCGTAGGGTATATTTATCTGGGGCCAGTCAAGGCCATCGCCGTTCTTAGACAAGAAAGAAAAAAGAACCCGTCCCCGGGAGAGCAGTAGGATAGGTAGGGGATTATGGTGGATTCGATGCTTGCAGAACTTACGTGGTCAAAGAGGTATTTGCCTTGTTCTTTTTTGGCTGACGTGGGCCATAGATAGTGCAGCTGAAGCTGTCTCCAAACGGACACTGCCACGCGGTGCCACCTGGTGCCGGTTTGTGAGTAGGGGGAACGGTTTCGATGTCATGATCGAAGTTTGTCTCTCGAACTTGTGACGGGCGTAGTCGTGAGAAAAGGACAAGGGGTTGGTTGGTGTTCCCTCGTCATATACATAGAGACGTGAGAGGATGAGAGATGAGGGAAATATATACATATATATATTGTGACGATATGTATATACATATTACAAGCCCCTCGTTTATTGTCCTCTTCTCCTCTCTGCCTACGGTATACCGGGCAGCTCTGTTTGACTATTTATATGTTAGCGTGGATTATCACTTACAGTGTAATCAGTTAGGGGATTCTGCAGACTGTTGAGGGTTCAGCCTCCTTATATAAGATACATTGCCATATATGGGCCTCGCTGCACTACTCTGGAAATGTGCAAAACGAGAGTGAATCTTGCATTAGAATATGGAAAAATACACCACCAATATTTTTGTCTTTTTGTGCATGTTGAGAGTAGTGCAGCCAGGCCCTATGTCTTGTTGTGCATGTCGAGAGTTGTGCAGCGAGCCCGTTGGTGAACATTACCGTTGAGGTTCTGACAGGTTGGACGCGCCGGACTTCTTTTTTTTTTTTTTTTTTTTTTTTTTTTATTTACTTCAAATCATTACTTATCAACAACCAGAGGCCGGGGACCTCACAATTCAACCCGGGAGTATCTGGCAGCATCAGCCAGCTTAGCTTACAGGCTTGCGCCTGCAGAAAGTCACACTATAGACTTTCCAGTACCTATCCTGTGGACAGCATAACCTACAACAGCCGAACCAAGCCTGAAGTGGAAAAACCTAGCTTCCTATGCACTTACAGAATTAATGAGAAATTGCTCTCGTCCTTCAAAAGTCTTTAGAATAACTTGGCTCGTTACCAACCCTCTCACACTGAGCTTCTTGACTGATATTAACACCAGAACAACTACTCTGGGACTAAAACGGCCCAGAGGAGCTCGTCCAAGACTACTGGCACTCTCCTACCGGTCCACCGCGACCTTACGTACCCAGTGCCCTGGTAAAGAGCAGGACTAACTAAACCGTATCCCTTCCAATGCCGCCCTCCCTATTTGTTTATCGTTGCGGACGGGACATCTCGGAGCCACTTCGAGATCACCAGACCTTTCTGAGCGTGTACTGCCGCCAACTTGTTGTTCTTCGCCCAGGTGCGGAGGAACCAGAACAGTTGGCGTCTGCTCCCTGTCCTGGACTTCACCTTCCGCCTCCAGTCCACCCAAATCGCATGCCTCAGCCCTTGTTTGATGTAGCGCTTGGTCTCCAAATCAGAAAGGGGCCGTTTTTCGAACCGTGATCTGTTCCTGTCCATCCAGATCGTCTCACAGATCAGGCCCCTGACTACGTGAGCCACGTACCCCCAACCCTGATGGCCCTTAACGGTCTTCGGTAGGAACCCCAAGAGTACCCACTTTTCTATCCATTCCACACCCTGGCCACCAAACTCCCTCCAGTGATGAGCCCACCAATTCCATATCCTCTTCGAAGCGGGGCACTCCCACCATAGGTGCTTGGTGGACTCGAACGGCCATCTGCACCTTGAGCAAGCAAGTTCCACCTTCAAACCTCTGCTGGTTAGCCAGACTGCTGACGGGGTCACCATTAACGAGAGCAACCACAAAATACTTACTTGTTTGCCGTTTGGGAGGGAGGACAGGATGCTCCATAGTCTTTAAAACTCAGACTTCGACTCCAACAGGTCCTCTTCGCACACTGCCTGCCAACGGGGGATCGCCACTTCCACAGGCGACTTGAGTTTCTGTATGTATTGTTTGTATCCTGCAGCCACCAAGTATTTGTGCATGACTAGGGCCTCCTCCTCTGGGGCCTTGGGCGCCCATGTCCAGGCTGTCGGGTCAATGCTGAGCAGCTTGAGAGGCTTCCTGCCTACCCAAGTGAGAATGGTGGCCGAGGGCGACCTGCTGCGGACCTCCACCACTCGAGCCTGTGCAGGATTATCCCAGAGCTGAATAGTGACTTCTCCCATCAGGGACAGCGTGTTCTCAGGGCCCTCGCATTTCCACCTCTCTATCCTTCTGAAACCGCTCGGGAGGATCTCCAGCATCTTCCAGAGTACAGAGTCTTCTTCCCTCTCTAACTGTGGGACATACCAGAAACCGGCGGGGTCTGAACCCTCCGGACCCAAAATGTCCTTCCATTCTTGGGGGACAGCGTCAGTCAGTGCCCTCCAATGGACCTCCACCCCTTGCAAACCTCTGAGAACTGCTTTTGCCTCGCTCAACGGTTTCCAGCTACCCAGCAAGGATGACCAGAGATCCGCCATCCTGACAACCCCCTTCTTTACCCAAGCTCTACCGAATGAGCCCGTCGAGTCGTCTGCCAAGAATTCAACGCCGGAGGGGTCTGTGAACGCCGGGTTTTCAAACAACAGCTGGTTCAGGACCTCTTCTTTGGAGGACGGGGGTTTCTGCAGATCTGGGGGATAACGGTGCCATGCCTTACGGATAGGTTCCCAAAATTCAGATTTGAGTTTTTTCTTCCGAAAAGACAGAATGAAGAAGCAGGCCCAGACATCCTGTGGCCTACTTAGCTCCCATGGCTTCATCAACAGTCTCTCCGCCAAGGTGACCCAGTGTTCACTGCTTCTCATAGTAGCCACCTTTACCACCCAGTTCCTCAGTTGTGCTTGGGTTCTTCTTGCAGGGTCTAGCAGACCCAGTCCGCCCTGTACACGTGGGAAGGTGAGTGTGTCATAGACCACCTTGGACAGGAACCCCCCAGCATCTTGAGCCCGTGGTTTCCAAACGAACCGGGCAACCAATCTCTTGACCGCTTTGACTGTTCCTTCGGCCAACTCCTTTACCATGGAAACAAACCACATGATTGAGAACAAGGCCACATTGGCCACTAGAGCTCTCCCTACCACTGATAGGTGCCCAGTGAAGTTCCACAGTCTCAGTCTGGCGGAAATCCGCTGCTGCAAAATTAGACCCTGTCCAGACCCATCCACTTGCAAACTGATTAACACAGCCGAAAATCTTTCCTCCTCCCCTACACCTACCCTTCTCATTCCCCATTCAACCTTCAAACCAAATTGCGCTGGGAGCAGGAACGTGGATTTGCTCCAATTCACCGTTGCTTCGGACAGCGCAGAGTACTCGGCCAGCACTAAGTTGATTGCTCCCAAGGATTTTTCCGTGTTCTCACTTATGCTCAGCAGGTCGTCTGCTAGCGCCTTGACCTTACACTCCTCCCCCGTATGTAGTTGGAGGCCCCTGATGTCCGGGTGCCTACGCAGCCTGTTCAGCAGAACTTCCAACTGCAGTACAAAGACGAGCGGAGCCAGCGGGTATCCCTGTCGTAGAGACCTTGAGAGAGCGAAGGGTTCCGACAGATGCCCATTGATCATGATTGCCGAGGTGGAAAAGATGTATAAGGTTTTGGTCCATGCGCAGAAACCTTCTCCGAACCCCATCCACTTCAGCGTAGTGAGGACGAAAGCCCAACCCACTTTATCATACGCCTTCTCCAAGTCTAGGAGAAGGACCGCCATATCCAGCACTTCACTCTGCACTACTTCCAATACCTCGATCGCCGTCACGATATTGTTGAAGATTGATCTTCCCCTCACAAAGGCGCCCTGATCCCCTTCCACTAACTCCGGTAGGTATTGTGCAAGTCTGCGCGCTAGTGATTTTGCCAGGATCTTGTACGACGCGTTAAGCAGCGAAATTGACCACCAGTTCCGGACTTCAGCCTTGTCGCCCTTCTTGAATAGAACCGAAATAACCCCATGTGACATCCCCTTGCCCAACTTTCCTCCTGTTAGTACCTCATTGTACAAGTCGACTAGCTTGGGTCCCAGCCCGTCCCAGTTGGCGGAGTAAAATTCCACCGAGAGGTCATCCACCCCGGGGGATTTCCCTTTCGCCATTGTCTTCAATGTTTGTGTGGTCTCCTCCAGTGTGAGAGGACGATCCAGGTCCAGCCTCCCTGTAACTTGTAGCTTTACCCTTGTGTCCCTCCACATGTCCGATTCCTCTGTCAGATCCGTGGTCCTGTTGTCTTGCAAGCGCTTGGTGGTCAGAATATCCTTGTAGTATAGCCTAGCGTACTGCAGCATGCCTGAGGCTGGACAGGCTGAGGGGGCTGTGGCATCGAACGGGTGCCTAAGCTCTACCATCTGCAGTTGGGCCCTGCATGGCTGCAACTTTCAAAAGGTCTCCTTGGTCATCTTGTCGTTAAACTCGATACCCTTTACCTTCAATATATATCATTCCACCTTTTTTGTTTCTCCTCTTGCAGCATATCCCATTCCTTCATGTGTCTCTCCCTTTTTTCTGCCCACACCATCAGTGAAATGGGATGATCGTCCAACCTCTCCCTCGCGTCTTCCACTCTCCCCTTGCACTCCGCCTCCTTCTTGTTCCTTTCTCTTGCCAGTATCCTAGAGATGGCGTCGAGTATGCCTGATGTAATGGCTAAGCCACCATCCATCCACTCTGCGATAGACTCAAAGTGACCCCGCGCACATTCCCAACTCTGCATATGTTTGGATACCCACTCGTTCACTCCAGGATCTTCAAGCACCTGGCTGTTAAGGCGGAAGAAGCCTCTCCCCCTGGAACCATCTATTGACAGGTGGATATCTGCAGTAACCGACTTGTGATCCGAAAGGGGACTGCAACCCAGTTTTACCAATGTACAGCGATTCTGAATAACTTCCCCCATCAAGAAGAAGTTCAATCTCCTCCTGGTTATTGCCCGTCTGTTCCTGAAGAGGTTAGAGAACCAGGTAAAACCAGGTTCACCCGGATTCAGCATCGGGAATGGGTCCTCACGTCGCTCCTATCTGCGAATGAAGAACCACTCCTCAAAGCTTCGTCCAAGGACACGTTCCAGTCCCCCCCTATAATCAGCTTCTCTGCGGGTGGGATATCTGTCACCAGTTTCGAAAAAAACCTCGTTCTCTCCCCCACGTCTGTTGGTGCGTACACCGTCATAAAGAGTCATTCCTCGTTTGCTATTAAGACCTTCATCTAGGCCCACTTCCCCCAAATGTCTGATTCTGCATCCATCACCGTCGCTTGCAGGTCACAGTGCAACAGAATACAAACCCCGCCCCTTGTTCCCTGCGCTGGCGCCCAAATCTGTAGGCCCTCCCACCAATGAGCAATTTCCTTGATCTTCGTGTCGTTCAACTTTGTTTTCTGCAACATCACACAGCTTGCCCTGCACTCATGTAGCCAGGACTTCAACCTTCTCCTCTTATCCCTCCCATTGGAATCCCCAAGGCCCCGAAAGTTCCAAGTTATCATTCTCAGCCTATCCATTAGTGTCATTTGTCACCGCGTTCGCTTGGATGCGGATTGAACCCTGAGCAACGGACTGTGCTTGCCTACGCGAGGAGTTTCTCGAGTTCTGAATCCTTGAACTTCCTCTGGAGGAGCCGGTATGAGACGTTGAACGTCATTCCTCAGTCAGACTGGCTCTTAGAAACTCTGAATGGAAATCCTCCTCCTGGAGCAGCTTCTCGTTAACTGTTATCAGTGCCGCCGCGGACACCCCCGGAAGGATCCTAATGGAATCCAACTCATTAGCCTGGTCCACTTGGATCAGACTGTTGTGATACCAAAGAAACCCAACTTGCGCCAGGACCTCGACAAATTCTGCTGGTATGCGAGCGTCTAGTAATGGAAAGTACATTTTTCTATACCCCTTTACAGTCTCACAAATAATGCTAGTCATCGTGGAATGTGGAATGATCCTGACTGTCACGTGCTCACCATACAACCTTCTCGTACATTCGAGGATTTTCGTCGGAGTAGGGGAGCAATCCACATCTGCCGACGGGAGGAAAGGTCCATTACCATATGTTGTTGCCAGGAAGAATACACCCCTGTCTATGTGTGTGCACAGCAGGGGTACTAACCGCCTCTGCACTGATTCCATCTGGTTTCTACCCACTACCTCTGCTCTCCTAATTCTAACTGAACCTTTTTGTGCCTCAACCTCTTGTTTGCAACCCGACCCAGCTGAGTTGTCCAGCGAAGAGGCTGAGTTCGACCTTCCTGTCCTTTCGCGGTCTTCCTCACATTCATTGCCCCACCTCACTCTTGACTGTGAGGTGACCGACGTCTTCGATAATTCATCCCTCAGTCGAGACATGTCTGGTTGGAGACTACCCGGATCTACCCCTCCTCCTCCTCCTTCACCCCCTCCGCCCCCTTGAGCCACATCTTGCTCCTCTCTTACCGGTGCCCTTGTCGCCAGGGTCCGTTACCGGTACCTTTCTGCCTCCAATTATCCTCCTTCCACGAGGACCAACGCGAGGATGAGCTGCTTTGTCTGCGTCTGAATACGGGTCCGCCTCCTTCCCACCTAGCCCCTTCGTGATGTTGGGAGCATCTGTCCGGCGGAGGAGGTGTCAGGTGTCTCTAGTCGTAGCTATCGGACGGATATCCTAGTTGCGGCTGCTCTACCAGGCACTGGCCCACCTCGTACACTTCACTGCGTTGGTGAATTGGTTGAGGCTGGTACCACTGCTGATGATAGAATATTTCCTCTTTCGGAAGCCCATACGGGAGGGGAAAATCCTGCTTGTTCAGACTGTAAGTACCGCGTTCCATGGGCAATTCCCTATGCGGGAGACCCCTACCACCTGGCCAATCTTCTCTTGGTTGCCAGGTGGGTAGAAGCGACGGACCTGGGCCCCTGACCGGTTCATTTCTCCAAACTTGCTCCCTGTTCCACTCGGGGAGAGACCTCTGGGGCTCAGTATCTCCCTACACTGATTGGTGCCGAAGATGTAGGTGGTACTACCATACGGAGGAGAACTGCCCTCGACGTCGGAACGACAAAGTTCGAAACGTAAACGGCGCCCGACAGGGGGGTCACAGAGCACGCTTTCAAGAACTGGTCTTGAGTCAGGTCAGACCAGATAGGGAGGAAGGGGGAGGAGGAGAGGAGAGAGCCCGGCCCCAGGAGCCAGTCTCGCATTCTTTTGCAGCGCAAGGTGAGCTCAGACGCACGTCTCAACAGGGCCCACATCCAGTTCGCCAAGATACTCAGGGACAGCGAAGCTGGAATGCAGCTCCGGTTACGCAGCAACCACATGGCCGGGGGGATCCTTCCCGAGAGTTCAGCAACAGAGATCTTCTAGGTGGCGCGTCAGGGGGGTACCAGCCCCCCCCCCCAGGGGGGGGAGACGGGTGTTGGCGTCAAAACCTGCCCGGTCAGGGCCTCCTTTCGCCTCCTCGAGATTCAATTACCAGTTCATCATCTATGCGGTACCGCGCATCTAACGGCATGTCGAACTTTACGTTCATCAGTTTCGGCCGATCCTTGTCATACTCTGGGCTGTGCACTACAAGGACTTCTCCGAAGATTCCCTTGATTGCGCTCAGCAGATAGTAGTACGCTTCCAGTGGTACTCTCAGCTCCATTATCCAAAACTTCGTGGCTGCCTCTTGTATACGGGCACTCTGCATCTCCAGCTTGGATAATCCTGGTTTGAAGAGGACTGAGTACTCCTTCTGTTCCAATTTGATCTTCAGTTCCCCTTCCTGCAGAAGTTGCAGTAGCCAGTCTGCGATTTCCTTGGCTTTTGCAACGTACGAAGCGACATTTGGGCCTTCGAATTTCACTCGGCCCCTCCTAACACGTGGTTCGAACAGACTCTTCGCTGTCCACCCATCTTCGTAAGCCCGTACCAGGTCCTCCTTAACTTGTCTGGTCAGGTTGCGAGCCTCCCCCTGGAAAATTACTAGGACTGAACGCTCCTTCAGGAACTGATCTTTCACCTAGTTGACCATCTCATTTACTACAAACCTTTTCCCTTCCCCATCTTCCACCTCCTCTCCTAGACATAGGTCGTCTGGGCATACCCCTTTGTCATAGCATCGCCTAACAGATTCTCGTACCCTGGACCGGTTTTCTTCAACAGTCAGGGGGACCGGACGCTACTGGGACTGCCCCATTCTCGGGACCCCTTCCATTGCCGCCCTTGCCCTCGAAGCACACCTGAAGATTGCCTTTTGCGTTTGATGGGAGGTGAGAGTTTGGGTAGAACTGGCCACTATTTGAACAGAATTGATCTCGGACTTTGAGCGGACCTGTCTGCACTGGACAATGACTCACTGTGCATGACCCTTAAGTGTACAAATTGTCCCACTCTCTCCATGACATTACCCTGTTTACTATTGCGGACGAGAAACTCCAGTTCAGATTCTACCTACACTTCCGAGATCGTGTAAGGAATAATCGTTAACCAACCAAATTCGGGTCCACATCTACTGATGATACGTGTGTGATTGTTCTTAATCCAAGATACCACCTTTAAAGCCGCGCCAAAACAAACTTAACTGCTGAATCGTTCGAATCTGCAAAAAGCATAACATATCCTAACAATTTCCAGGCGAATGTTCACGAAGTTCCTTACTATCTCCGACCACCGTGTTCTTACACCAAGGGGCCACCTTCAAAGCCACGCCCAAACAATCTTAACAACTGAAGCGTTTGAAACTGCAAGATTTGAAGCAAAACATAGCCTAATGATTACCAGGCGAATGTTCACGAAGTGCCTTACTATCTCCGACCTTTGTAATCCCCAGCCCTCGTAGGCGGACAGGCAATCCTCCTCGGATCAGTCCGATACAACCCCGATGTTTAACCTATCCAACCCTCTTAACCTGGCCGGCGATCCAACACGAATTATGTATCACACCATCTTTCCCCGTTAGATACCTAATCCCTGGTTCCCAATCCTGGTCGGCGAAGCCTAGAGTACAATCGAGTCAAAACTTGTGCACAAAATTTGGAAACTTACTGTGAACCCGGTGATAATTCGCCGTCAGCTCCAACTGAAACCCAACTCTCCGTCGCCTGTCCACTTTGCCCTTCAGAACGCCGCCCTGTACCCTATCTGTATACAAGTAAGAGCAGCCTTCAGTTCTGATCTCTAGCCACGAAGTCGAAGAAGCTACTTGTTGCCTCACCACCTGGTAAAATTGGTGACCTCCGATAACTCGAGCGATTTACCTTCTCCGAGGAAAGGCGGTAAGGCAGGCTACACTCCAGGTGTTTCTCCTGAACGCCCAATATACCCCATATGATGGGCCATATCCACCCATTTTCGTGTGTAACGTCCAGCAAAACAGAAGACAAGCAATCCC